GGGGATACAAAAAGAGGCAAAAGATAGTTCCTGCCCTCAAGGAGTTTCCATTCTAATGAGAGAAACATGGGAATAACGGACAAAATGGACAAAAAGAAATCTCCAAGGGGAAGAATAGCAGCTTAAAGGGGTTGGGAAATACTTCCAACAGAAGATAGAATTTAAGCTGAGTCTTGAAGGAAGCTAGGGAGATTGAGAGGCTGAGTTTTCTGAGGGGCAGAAAATTCTGGGTATAGAGGACAGCCAGCACAAAGGCAAACAGTTAGGAGGGCTGTGTTCAGGAATGGTAAGTAGGTTTGGTGTTATCTGGAGAATTCTGGATTTCTTGTCAGGTTCAGCTCAGATGCCACCTCTTGATCCCTCCCCTCCCCCAGTCAATTCTTCCATTTGCCTCATTAAAGTATCTGGGTACTTGTTTTACTTTCTCAGTAGAATGTACACTCCCTGAGAGCAGGGACTGCTCCGGTTTTTGTCTTTCTGCAGCACTTATTATAGCGTTTTGCTCACAGTAAGTGCAGAATAACAATAGCTAACATTTATGTAGCATCTACCATCTTCCCAGTACTGTATTAACTGCTTTTTGAGTACTATCTTCTTTGATTTCTCACAACAACCCTGGGAGGTAGATACTATTATTATCCGCATATTACAGATGAGGAAACTGGCAAACAGGGGAAGTGACTTGCTCTGGCTCAGCCAGCTCTAGTCTGAGGTCAAATTTGAACTCCAAACTCAGCACTCTATTGAATTTAATTAAATGCCGTTTCTGCCTGGAATAAGTCAAGTCAACAAGCAATGATTAAAAACTTGCTAGGTGCCAGGCATGGTTTTGGAGAGAGGTATTGCTGTTACTAGAGAGACTGTAGAGAGCCTTGGGGTTGAATTTATCTGAAAGCGTAGAGAATTTTGACAAGGTTTCTGAAGAGTTTTTGGCTGCATATTTAGCTAAGCTCTCTCTGTGCCACAATCAGAAAATATGACTACTGTAGCTATAGCCATCTTGAGACTTGGATGAATTTTAGGTGAACAGAGGCAATTTCCTAAGTAATAGGAATTATCCGGCTATTTGGATAATTGTCCCAATTCTCTGACTTCATCCTGCCCAGAAGAGGCAGATAAGTACTAGGCTTGGAAGCAGGAGTGTCTCTGGGATTGTTGATGGCTTCCTGTGTTATGGATTACAGCAGGTAATACTTAATGCTTGCCATCCTAACTCTTCACCACCATTTTGCAGATGAGGATAACCTAAGGAATAGGGAGGGTAAACGGTTTCCTGGAATTGTTCCAGGAGGGGAGGAAGGAACAAAATGGTGATTTTTCTCTCAGTTGCTCTAATCTCCAGCTACCCTTTTTGGTTACAAGCCTGGTGCGACTCTATGTGACTTGAAGTGAATGTGAGTTGATGGCCTATCTGAAGGAAGGGGGAGGGAGGGGAATACGCCCAGCTCTTTGCAAAACACTACAAAGACTGGAAGTTGCAATGTATAGCAAAGCCAGAGTCAATGACTCCTAAACTTAAGAACATGTTACAGAATTTATAGGATGGCTGAGGAGGCAAAGTCTCCCCTTGGGTTGCCTCCAGTGAGGTCTTTGAGCAAAGGCTGGAAATCGCTTGTCAGGTATACGGTAGAAGGGGTGCCTATTCAGGTACAGGCTGGATCAGATGACCTCTGAGGTATCCTTTCAGTTTGAGCTTCTGTGAGAAAATTGCAGAGCAAAGGGTTTGTAAACAAGTGCTGGTTTGAGGCGAAATTGGAATTTTGGAAAGAGAGTGACCATTAGAAGGCTTCAGGAAGAGAGCAAGTAAGATTTGACTTTGAAAAATGGGTGGGATCGGAATAGGTAGCAAAGGTCTAAGGAGGTTAGGGAAGGAGGAAAACAGAACCAACAAAGATACAAAAGCATGATTGAAGATGCCATGGGTGCTGAGCACGGTGAGAACGGAGGCTACCTATGGCAGCTATGAGAGATAAAAATGGGGTCTCTTGATGGAGGGGCTTAAATGCTAGACATAAGAGTTTGGAGAAGATAGAACATGCAGTCATTGGGGCTCAATTCAAATGACATTTAAGGAAGATTAGTGATATGAAGGACAGATTAGATGGCAGAGAGGTAGACCTAGGGGAATCCAAAATAATAATAATGATAGCTAATATTTATATAGCACTCACTGTGTGCTGGGCACTGTGCTAAGCACATTACAAACATCATCTCCTTTAATCCTAACAGCAGCCATGAAAGGTAGCTGTTCTTATAATCCCCATTTTACATTTGAGTAAACTGAGGCAGACAGAGGTTGTGAGGGGTTGCATGGCTAGTAAGGGTCTGAGGCAGGATTGAAATACAGATCTTCTGACTCTAGGCACACAGTCTATCCACTACGCCTTCTTCACTGTTGGCTGAAATCAAAACTTGCTGCCTTGAGTATGGAAGCCACAAAGGCTATCAGCCAGAAGCCACCTTTCTACCTGATATGGTAGGGTAATCAGCTTTTTTATTGGTTCAGCAACCAAATGGAAGGGTGGGGGTGGGAAGGAGTCAATTTACTAATGAGTCATTCATAGCCAGAAGCCGGGAGAGGATATCTGCCTATGTTTAAATTTCTGCATGGTCTCCAGGGATAGGTAGAGAATATCTGCACATACTCAAAGGTGAGAGGGAAAGGGGAAGGGAGGGGAGGGAAGGGGAGATCAGTTGTAGGGTGAGCCTTTTACCTTAGAAATGGAGAGGAAGGGATGATTTGAGAGGACTGAAAAGGAAGAATCCATAGGACTTGGGGACTGATTAGCTATGGGAGAGGATGGAGATCAAGACAAGAATGCCTCGTATGATGGACCTGTGCGTCAGGAGACCAGGGTTCTAATCCCAGTTCTGGGGCCATGCCGACTGCATCACCTTTCCAGGCCTCAGTGTAATAAGTGGGTGTTGTTGAACTGGATGAGCTCTGAGGTCCCCGTCAGTGGTAAAACGTTGTGATTATAAGAATAGTTGTGTAAGCGACAGGAATAGGGGGAAATGAGGTGACTGGTAGAAACCATATAATTTACTTCCAACCTTCCTGGCCCTTCTACATTCAGGCACCACAGCCCTGTGCTGGCTTCGACAGCAACCCTTCCAATGCCTGTGAATCTCTGACGGAATAGATTCTGAGAGTCTATACTCTTAGAATGGTACGGTGGCTGGGGTGAGTTGCCATTTAGAACTGGTTATAGATATGCACAATTCTGCTTAAGCTTCGAGTAAGAGCTCTTTGTAAGCTATCAAATTCTATATAAATGTAGGTTACTATCATTCTTCTACTTTATGATATTGCTTTCATGCTGATTCTTAGTATTATGGGAAAAGTGAAAAGACCATTGGATTTAGGGTGTCAGGACATGGCTTTGAATTCTGGCCCTACTATTTCTGTGATCTTGGATAGGCCGCCTACTCTCTCTGGGCCTCAGTTTCCACATTTGTAAAATGAGGGAGTTGGATAAGATTGCCTCTACGATGCCATATAGTTCCACAAAATGGAATATATATGGGAATGTGTTCAAATGTGCATATGGGAATGTGTTCAAATACTTTTAAAAGTACAAAGTGGACCTTCTCCGCTTCCTTCTGTTGTTCTAGAGTGGCACTTTCTTGCCAAGCATTTATTATACCTTCTGCGTGACAGGCAACAGGGATACAAATACAATAAATGAAACAATCTCTACTCACAAAGAACTTTTAATTTTTTAAATTTAAATTTGATTTTTAATTTTAATATTGTCCTGGTAGACTGGGTGAAGTATCAGGGATTAGTGGGTTTGTTTGGGGTGGGTGGCCTAGACCTGAAATTTCACCAGTGTATGGAGGTTCCCTCCACTTGATGGTAACCCATGGTCTTGGACACTAAGAGGTTAAGTGTTGTTGTTGTTTATCCTTTGCTCTCAAAGAGAACCATGACATGCAAGTGAATTGGATTTAAGGGAGGGAGGGCTGTGCAAAATCGCCAGCCTCACTTTCTCCTCCAGAGTTGTCTGTAGTTAACGCAATGAGTTTGTGCCTGAGGGAAAGACTCCAAAAGAAAAGTAGAAATAGGAGTAAAGTGTGGGGTGACAAGGAGACTTTTTTTTTGCCTACCATACATAATCTTCTTAGTACAGTATCCTGCACACACTTACTGTCATTAATGGAGGAAGATATTACATATCTACTTTTGGTGCAAATGCTCTTTGTTTTTTGTTTTTTACCCATAATAGTGAGGGATTCACATTATATCATCCACACTCTCTCCTGGGTCCCGAAAGAGCTAACCATATACTTTTGTAGGATGGCTATTAAAGGATAGACATCCAGTGGGTGGCCTTGGAACAGAGAGGGGCTAAGTGACCATATTGGGAAAGACCCTATGACCTTGCCCTTCTGAACATCAGGTTTCACCAGCTGAACCAAACAGATAAAGGGCAAAGGTTGTTAGGCGATGGATAGCCAGGAGCTATTATTGACTGGAGTTAACCCAGTTATCTGTAGAGCTATAACTGCTATGGTAATTAACTACTCCCTTGGGTCATTCACTGACTTGGGGGCTAGAGATATGATTCACAAATATTTCTGAACATATGCATATACATTGTGTATATACATATGTAATACACATACATTATAAGTGCATTTCTGGGTTCTAGGTCTATGGAAACCTTTAGAACAGAGATTCTTAATATGTGTGTGTATGTGCATGTTGCAAACTCCTTTGGCAGTCTGGTGAAACCAATGGACTTCTCAGAATGATTCTTCTAAAATGCATAAAATAAAATACATAAGATTACAAAGAAAACCAATCATATTTAAATGTAGCTTTCAAAATATAAAAAAAATCCCAAGTTCATGATCTCCCAGACTGAGAAGCCCTGTTTTAGAGGGTAAAGAAGAGATCAGACATCTAGAACTATGCCTACCTTTAGGTACCATTCCTCTCCTTTCCTTTGGAGTACTTCAGTCTAACTTCTTTTTTCCTCCCTCTCTCATGACAGATGGAGTGGCAGCATTCCGTGCTTTCCTGAAGACTGAGTTCAGTGAGGAGAACTTGGAATTCTGGCTAGCCTGTGAGGAGTTCAAGAAGACTCGGTCAACCACCAAGCTGGTTTCCAAGGCACACAGGATCTTTGAGGAGTTTCGTAGACGTTCAGGCCCCTCGAGAGGTATGTTGGTGGTGAGCACTTTGCTGTCGAGGAGGTCTCCACCTATCTTGGCCCTTTATGGTGGAATAGGCCAGCATTTTTCTCTCTTGGAGTCTTATTCCAGGAGTCCATTTGTTGTGAGTTGAGCCTCAGGGTGGTAGCTGTGGTGGCAAAGGCTTAGAAATTCAAGAAGAGGAGCAAGAGATAAATAGATAGATAGATAGATAGATAGATAGATAGATGGATAGATAGATAGATAGGGGATATATAGATAGATAGATGGGTGGACAGATAGGTGGATAGATGGGTGGGTGGATAGCTAGATGTGTGGATAGATAGATAGATAGATAGATGATAGATAGATGGTAGATAGATAGATGGGTGGATAGATAGATAGATAGATAGAGCATTTATTAAGCCCTTACTGCAGACACTGTGCTAAGCACTGGGCATATAAATACATGCAAGCAAGATAGTCCTGCCCTCAAGGAACTTGCATTCTAGTGGAGGTAGACATAAAAGAAAGCTGGAAAAGGGGCATGGTAGATGGGTGTAGCTGAAGATGTCCGACAAGTGCAGTAGAGGTCTAGAACTGAGCAAGAGAAGGCCAAAACTGGTCAGTCAAACCCCAAGGTGGTTCCAGAGGGTGGGGACCAATTTTTTCATCAGGAGGAAGTGGAGATGATAACTCAAGTAGACTGGAGTAGGGATATGTTAAGTGACATGTTAGGTGGTCATGTCCGTAACGAACCATATTGGTGCAGGACTCTTGGTAGCCGACAAGCCTAAAGGGACTGTTCTAAGTTTCAGATGGGATTTCTTATGGAGAATGGAGGGGAACCTGGGAGAATCAAATCATTGGATGTGGGAGGAAAGGGAGGGAACAAGCATTTATTAAGAACCTACTACGTGATAGGCTATGGGCTTTACAAATTACCTCATTTATGATGTGTGGCTGAGTCACAAGCCTGGAGAACTTCAACTATAATCTGCTTAAGGTGTCTCGTTACCAATTTAAAAAAATAGATAGGTAGATAGATAGATTTTATTTGGGCACATTGGTCACTTCCCAACAAGCATCCTTCCCTCACAATACCTTGCTGTAAAATAAAATTAAGCAAAACCACGTAATAGAGTGGGATGATTATCATTTGGTAACATAAAAGAAAGCTATGTGTTTAAATTCTGATAGTTTGGTTCCAGAGCAGTCCCTTGTATTTGACTAGAGTTTGGTTGACTTGTGGTCAATGGGTATAATGTTCCCCCTTTCTTCTCTGCACCAAATCTTCCCATGTTTCTCTGAATTCTTCATATATGTCATTGATTATTGTGCAAAAATATTCCACTATGCTCATAGGAGAGGCATTGTGGCACAGTGGATAGAAAATTGGCCTCAGAGCCAGGAAGACATGTGTTGAAGTCCTACCACTGATACGTACAAGTTGGGTGATCCTGGGAAAGTGATTCTGGGAAATTCTCTAAGACAGTAAGTTGTAGGGACAGCTAGGTAGGTGGCACAGTGGATAGAGCAGCAGACCTGGAGTCAAGAAGACACAAGTTCAAATCCAGCTTCAGCTACTTACTAGCTGTGTGACCCTGGGCAAGTCATTTAACCCTGTTTGCCTCAGTTTCTTCATCTGTAAAATGAGCTGGAGAGGGAAATGGCAAACCACTCCAGTATCTTTGCCAAGAAAACCTCAAATAGGGTCACAAAGAGTTGGATACGACTGAACAACAAAAATAAGTTGCGGGTTATATGCCCGTGTGCATTGGTAGAAGAAATTTTCTTACAAGGAGCTCTCATTTTCAATTAAATCACTGGTTCAGTTCCATCCCTATTTGATTATATAATTCTCAGTTTGGAAGGGATGTTTCAACATCCTTGTGGTGTTTAAATGAAGGTAAAAAATGGTAGCCCAGCAAGCATGGAAGGGGGAACCTGTGGGGGAAAAAAACGAGATCTTCATCAGATGTGCTTATTTTCCAGTTAAGCAAGGATAAGGGGCCTGTTTCAGAAATGTCAGCTGAAGGCTTCGGAAGTGAAAACTTGTCATTGCATTGAATTTATTTTGGAAAGAGCTCTAGGGAGGAGTCAAGTGCTTTGAGTTCTAACCCCAGTCCCCCCAGTAATGTTGCATAGCATATTAGACCTGAAGGGACCTTAGAAATAACCTAATTCAATTCCTCCTCAGTTGATAATTACTCATGTCTGAACAAATCACTCCATTTCTTTGTTCTTCCCTTTCTTCACCTGTCAAGTGGGGATAACTTCCCTTTTTACCTCGGGGGATAAAGATGGAACCCAATCACCTCTGTGAAAGTGTTTTGACAAGCAGAAAGCTTCACAGAGGTACAGTATGGCACAGTGGTGGGGAGTTTGAACCCAGGAAGACCTGGGTTCAATCCTGTCTCTGACACATACTAGCTATGGGCAAATATCAGTATCCCAGGCAATTCCACATGGAGAGTTTCTATACAGGTCTGGATTTCTTTCTTCTACCCTGTCTCCTCCTCCCTTATTCCTTTCACCCATCTCCCACATGCTCACACCTAAACAATACAAAATAAGGAGTTATGCAAATATGATTTGTGTGTTATAATTAATATTTGTACAAAACCCCAACATATTCAAGGCAAGTCCCCAACCACCAGGTGTCTAGCTTCCTTGTAACCTTGTTCTTTCTCTATGTCTCTAGGTGAACATAGACTTCCAAACTCGGGAAGAAACAAGGAAGAACATGCAAGAACCTTCTTTGACGTGCTTTGACCAAGCCCAGGGGAAAGTGCACAGCCTCATGGAGAAAGACTCTTACCCCCGGTTTCTGAGGTCCAAAATGTACTTAGATCTTCTGACTCAAAGCCAGAGGAGGCTCAGTTAGAGCTGAGATGAGGACCCATGGAAATCACAGGCTTTCCCCTTCCCCAGCTGCCAAGACCATATTCCAATGTGAATCGTCATCAGTGTTTAACCGAAGTGGAGTTTGGGTTGGGAGGCTGGGAGTGTGAGGAAGAAAGGAAGTGGGGCCACTTCCAATGTGTGACCCAGCTGCCGGATTGAGGACTTTAATTCTATTTGCCTGGTTGTGTTTGTGTATTGGTTAGTGGTAGCGCCTCACAGCTGTTACCCTTCTCTAGGTCAGCGAATGGCCCTTCAAAATGCCTTGGGTCATTTCTGCTGAGATGGCAGGTTTGCTATGCTGTGCTAATATGTAAATAATGCAAAAGCAATTCACTCCCCCCCCCCATTTTATTACCCGACTTCTTGTTAATGCCATACCCTTGAGAGGAAAGAGGGGAAGAATGACCATGGGTCTCTCTGATGTGATTTGCAGTTTAGGAACTATTGCTAGTCCTGGGTGTTTGGGCCTCATTGCACAGGAAAGGAGGTTCCCAGGAGTCCCAGGTTAAGCAAGTCTGCCAGTTATCGGAGAGGGAAGGGAATAAACATTTATTAAGCGCCTACTATGTGCTAAGCACTGTACTAAGTGCTCTACATTACTATCTCATTTGATAATATCTCATTTTATATATACATATATATATATATATCTATATCATTTGATTTCAGATGGGACTGAATTAGTGGAGTCAGCTATTTCTTTTATTTCCATTGGCCACTATTCAGTGGGAAAAGAATAGGGGTGGGGTGGGGAGCTGGGGCCATTGGGACATGCTATAGTCACTGCCCATCCTAAATTAGGAGGCTGATAGATTCCCTGTATAGCATTCTCGTGAAGGTACCTAACGGGAGATAGAGTTCATGGCCATCATCACAGCGATTTTCTGCTCCTAGGGAAGCAGAGGGTTCTCTCTTTGAGTGTATTTTACAAGTGTGATCCCCTGGTAGAAGGGGGTGGTCATCTGTAGTGAATGACTATTGCCAGGGAGGGTAGGGAGGAAGATATAATGTAGAAGCCCAGTCTTCACGTTTGTTCAACAGTTTTTCTGGAGGTGGAATGATGGACAGAAGTAACAACAATAGGCTTTCATGCAGTGGACAACTTTGTAACCTGTCTGCCCTGTTCCCCTGTGACATCAGATATCACTGTGCTGGCCTCCAGGATAGTTCAGAGGGGTAAGAAGAAAATGAATTCACACAGCACAGCCAGCTCTCAGCAGGCCTACTGCAGGTCCTGTTGTCCTTGATGCCAACCTCCAAAGGGGGGACATATAATTATACTGGGAAAATTAGGCACCAAAGTCAGAACCTCTCTTGTCTATATAGTCTTGGGAGATCATATTTCCCTCAAAGGATCTCACTAAAGCAACTACTACCCTAAAGATCCAGTAGCTTCTCCTTTTGGTGATGATCCTGGTGTTGAAGATGAAACCTAGGGTGGTTAAGAAAATGAGCAATTACTGGATTGGGAATCAGATGGGACTGTGTGTCAGAGAACTTTATCCACTAAAGATTGTTCTTAGAAGGTGCTGGGAAGCTCCTTCTGGGGCGATGCATGAGGAACCGGCATCTAGGCTCAGCTATCTAGAATCAAACTGACCTGGGCACAAATTTGTGACCTTCAATGAGAGAAGCACTCCGCTGAGATAGGAGGAGGGTACCTGTCAGTTGCTTGGATCCCACGGTAGATTGTCCTGCTAGATTAGGATAAGGAGCTGTTGGAAAGGTGACTTCGTAGTGCAGTGGAATGAGCCCTGTCCTAGAGTCTAGTCTCTTTTCTGCCACAAATTGACTGTGTGATTTTGGACAAGTAATGTCACTTCCTCCGGAGATTGGTTTCCTTATAGGTAAAGTGGGCAAGGGGGTGGGTGGGAAGGGTTAGAGCCTCACTAAAGTCCTTCCAGCTCTGAAATTCTAGGCATTTGGTTCTTTGTGGTGTCACCCAGCCTCCAAGGCCCTAGGTGTTTGAGGGATGTCATTGGGATTGCTCCACAAAAAACTCTTTCATGGAGAAATTGAGTTTGGCACCTGAGCTCTGAGGGCTGGTGATGCTCAGGAGCCCCGAACACGAGTGCTGCCCCCCCTTGGGGGTAGGTGGATGGCAGTAACTACACCTTCATCATTTAAGTGTGTTTTTAAATAGAGTCCACATTTCATTTGGTCCTGTCACCCCCCCTGCATCTCCTCCATTTACCTGTGAGTAGGGGCAGTCTCTGGTTATTCTTATTCTTATTTCTTGTTGTCGTCAAGGGTCCTTGCACTGCCAAGGGTGTGTTTCTGTGTGTGTGTGTGTGTGTGTGTGTGTGTGTGTGTGTGTGTGTGTTGTTGTCAGTGTGTCTATATGCAATAGCATCATGGAGTTTGGGGGGCAGGTTCTCCCCGTCTCTTTGGGTCTGTAACTGGGAAGACAGTAGAAGTTCCATTCCCAACTGCTCTGGAGCCTGGAAATGGGTGTTTCTAAGTAGATCAGGCAGTCTTTCCCCTCCCCTTCCCCCATTCCAATCCTCCCTCCTTCCTGAGCCAACAGGAAACCAATTTCAGCTGAAGCTGCCAGAATGAATTTAATGAGGTTGCTCTTTCTAACACAGGGTAAACACTTTAAATCACTGTTTACATAGGACATTTGCATCTATGGCCAGCTTTCCTGCCAAATTTCAGGCACTTCTGAATGGAAACAACACTTATTTCTGAAGAGTCCAAGCAAAATTTAAGGGGCCCTGTTACCACTTACCTGGGTAGTGAAGGGGTGGGTGTGAAAAGGTGGGGAGGGAAGGAAGAATCTAAAAAAAAACTGGGCTGTATCTTCAATTCAGGCGTTAGAGCTTCTTCCAATTATTGGGGTGAGGACTGCAGGTGGGGGTGGTGCCTTGGCAGGTTGGCCACTTCCTCCCCCACATGAGGGAGGTGTGAAGGCCCAAGCCTTAGGATTTTGAGGCTTGCAGCTAAGGGAGAGTGGATGTGGGTGGGTGTGTCCCTTCATGTACAATAGGTATATTTAGAGTGCTGGGTATCGTGTGTGTGACAGCTGAGAGCATCAGATTATAGGGGTGAGGCCCTATCTCCACAGGGCAGACCCTTTATGTCCTGATTCTCCCCAGTTCAGAGTCGTCTTTCCTGCTGCCCTCTCTGGGCACTTTGGTTAAGCCAAACCCTGATCATTTTTGTTATTATTATTGTGTGTAATGAAACAAAGAGAAATGTTTACAGCATCAAAAGCAATATCCAAACATACCTCACTCCTGTCCCCTTGTCTCTCTCCCCTGCCCCTCTCCTTTCCCTCTTCCCTTCCCTCCTTTCTCCTCCTCACTCCTGCTATCCATCACCTGCCTCACCTGTCCCTCAACATGAGGAACGGTTTCTTCCACGTAAGTTCTTCCTTTCCTTACGGCGCTGCTGGGGCTTCTGCTATTGTCTGCCTTCTAGGCATGGTGCTGAAATCTGCACAGAAGATGGAATAAAAGCCAGAGCAAGATGGACAGCACTGATATTCCCTAATCACCTTCTTCCTTTGGTCTTTGGGTTTGCCTTGAAGTTTGCTGTTGCCCTGGGCAAGCTAAAAACAAGAACAAAACCAAACCATAGCCCAAATTATGGAATGGGTGGCCTTCTTCATTGGCATTGGTGGGCAAGGAAAGTCTCTCTAAAGGGTGGGGGGCAGAACTAGGCTGCTGAAAAGAGATTGTCGAGGACCAATTGGCAAGAGAACCCAAAAAATGGATGAGTGTAGGCAGGATCCAGAATTCTGAAACAGACAATTTTGTCTACCCCTTGAATTTATTCAATCTTATAAGCATTTATGGAAGCACTGACTGTGTGCCAGTTGTACTAGGCGCCAGAAATATGGAGACAAAGGTGAAAACAGGCCTTGCCCTGAAGATTATTCTCTACTGGCCTCTCCTAAACTTAACTATCCTGGCTAGTTGCCGATAAATCCTCACCAGCCCGCCTTGCCCTCAGGCTGATTTACCTGCGGACAGTCCGAGCCTCGTGTGCTGTCCTGGCCGGCAAATGTGCTGGATGGTGAAGACAGAGGTGCGAGGAGGGTCCTTTCTGCAAAGCCTCCCTGATCCCTTTATACTTCCTCCTGGCTCACCTGCCTTGTGGGTAGTCAGGACACTGTCTTATTTTAGCTGCCAGCCAAAAGGCTTGGATGTTTCTTTTACTCCAGCCTTTGGGTTCGGGCCGTGCCTATGACCTCAAGACCTTACAATAAGTTTAGGTGAGAACTCAGGTAAATGAGTGAGGCATGTTTTGATAGTGGTTCTAGTGAGAAGAATCTCACCATTCTCCGTAGGGATGTCACATACTGTGGCTGTCATGGTCTTCTAGCTACCTTTGGGGACAGATTCTCGGTGGCGTCGCCAGTTCTGTCAGCTGCAAGCCACTTTCCACTTGAATTTGTCTATTTTTAAACCAGGGTGAAGTGAGGCAATTGCCCCTTGAATTTTATCCACTGGAGAGACAGCCATCCATTACCCAGCTAATTTTACTCTCTGGTGCTCTCCACAGAATCTGCTGCTCCGGATTAAACCAAAGTTGTGAAATTGATGCCTTCCTAGGCCGTAGAAGGCCCAGCACTGGAGGGTCGATCTGTAGTCCTTCACTGGGGCTTCTCGCTTTGGCTGTGCCCTTGGTTGGACTGACTCATCCCAGGCAGTCCTGCACTCTGGAAGCTGTAGCACAAGGCCCTGGGCTATGGAGAAGATTAGGTATGGTAAGGGGGAGAGGGATGAGTTTGATTTTCCTAGGAGCTGGGAGAGGTGAGGATGTGGGTGGAAAAGGTGGGGAGGGAGAGAAGTGGAAGGAGAAGAGAAAGTTCGTGATTTCCTTCTCTCTCTCTCTCTCTCTCTCTCTCTCTCTCTCTCTCTCTCTTCTCTTTCTTTCTTTTCTTTCTTTCTTTCTTTCTTTCTTTCTTTCTTTCTTTCTTTCTTTCTTTCTTTCTCTTTCTTTCTTTCTTTCTTTCTTTCTTTTCTTCCCTCCTTCCCTTTCTCCCTCTTTTCCTTCCTTCCTTCTTTCCTCCTTCTCTCTTCTCTCCCCTCCTCTTTCTCCTCACCTTCCCTCTTCTCACCTTTCCTCTCTTTTCCTTCCTTTCCCTTCCCTTCCCTTCCCTCCCCTCCCCTTCCCTTCCCTTCCCTTCTTTTCATTTCCCTCCCCTTTCCTTCCTTTCATTTCCCTCCCCTCCCCTTTCCCTTTCTTTTTCCCTTTCCTTTTTTCTCCTATCCCTCTCTCATCTTCTCTTTTCCTCTCTCTCCCCCTCTCTCCTGTTCCTTCTGAAATGGAGCTAGCTTTGGAAGGGTCCCCAGCAATAAGAAGGGGGAAAGATGAGCAGGGTATTGAAAAGGCTGAACACCTTTTCTTCAGCACTCTGTGTCCCAGAACCCTTTTATTCCTACCTGTGCTCCCTTGCAAGCAAGGCTGGAAAAAGATTTTAGGTTGTCCATTCTATGAAGTATTTAAATTGGCCAACTGTTATCCCTCCTTGAATCTGTGGCTCTCAACAGTATTAGAAAGCAGAAATGGCAGACTCAGCACTGGCATTAAGAGGGTATATGATTTGGTGTCTGAATAAGAAGGAATCCAAAAGTGGAGATCTCTGTCTTCCTACCCTTGTGACTTCCAAGGACTCCCGGCAACAGTGTAGTAGGTTAAGAAAGGAGGTACCTGGGAATCCTAGTTTAGGGATAAATGTTTTCTTATTGGACCCCTGACCTAAACAAGTTTAGGGTCTGAATTTTTCCACAAGCTATTCCCATCTTGCTTCTTTTTTCCTTTCTCTCCTTGGGTTCCTTCCCCTTTTTCCTGGTGCAGAGAAGGTAGGTGGGTTTGGAGTGTACACCAGCCCCTTTGGCACTTCATGCCCTGTGAACACACTTCATGTACCCAACAGATCTATAGCAGTTCATCTGCCATGTAAGTTGCTTAGCTGGCTGAGTCCTCACTGAGTTGTTTCATTACTGTGTAAAGTGGGATACTGTCATTCACCTTTACTATAAACAATGCTGTGAGAACATAATAAACTCCAATTGAACAACCCACCCATACTGAGCTTTTTTGGGCCCGTGGCTTGCTGGCTGACTCCGTGGGGAACCTCTTCAGGTAGCAGGTGGACTCCATGGTGATAGCGCATGCTGGGGCTCTGAGGGGACTTGGGCAGATGGCTCTTTAGGGAAAGAACATGGGCTGGTGTGTGGTAGCACATGTCTGCCATTCGTGCTGCCCAAGAGGCTGAGACTGGTGCATCTTGAGCTTGCGAGCTCTGAGTTGCAGTGAGCTAAGCCCATTGAGTGACTATATTAAGTTCACATGAATATGATGAGCCTCTGGGAATGGGGGAGGGGAGGAGCACCAGGCTATCTAAAGAGTCACAAACCATCTAAGGCTGGAAATCTTGCAGATCAAAGTCAGTTTACATGCAAATCAGAATAAGAGTAGGCCATGAGTAGCCCCTGCACTTCCAGTCTAGGTGAGATAGAAATACCCCATCTTTAAAAAAAAAAAAAAAGAAAAAAGATATAGTCATATATAAAATGGTTTTAATGGTTTTGGGAAGGGGTGGTGATGGGCAAAGACTCATTGCTTAAATTAAGGTGGGGAGGGAAGGATATTTTATATTTTTCATTGGAGAAGTAAGAAAGTAGTATGGTTGATTTCATTTGTGGGTAGGTCCTACTTTATACAATTGGTATGTTTTCCCCAAATTGTGTCAGGCAACAAATGTCTGCTATGTATAAAACACTGAAGGCAGTTTGGGGAGGCGAGCATGGGCACGAAGTATAAGATAGTCATATAAATAGTATATAACAGTAATACTTTCCCTCAAGGATTTATTGTCTATTTAGAGAAATAAGACATTTGTAGCAAAAGATAATTTAGGCAAATAATTTTTTTAAGGCAACTGGGGCTAAGTGACTTGCCCAGGGTCACACAGCTAATAAGTGTTATGTGTCTGAGGCCAGATGTGAACTCAGGTCCTCCTGACTCGAAGGCTGGAGCTTTATCCAGTGTACCACCTAGATGTCCCAGGCAAATAATTTAAAATGCACCTGAGAAGTAAATTCTTTTTGTAAAATGAAAAAAAAAACCCAAAACTTTTACAATCCAAAATAATCACCGTATTCCTCATCTCTCCCTATTTTATTTTGTTTGGATATTGATATTCTGTATTTTTCCCATTGAAGTGGGGAGACCCCATATGAGAGTAACTACTGAAAAATGCCAGTAAGTATAATCATTTTGGATATCATTGAAAAAAAAGTTACATGGAATCTTGCCTCATCTGTCTCTGGGTCTCTACCCACCAATTCAAGCATCATGCCTGATGCCTGTCATTTTTACCAAGCAGATGTTTTTCTCAGTTCTTTCTCTTCAGAGGTCTCCAAGAGGTACTGACGTCACACAGGGCATAAATATAGGTATAAATATACAGAAGATACACTAGCTCAATGGGGAGAGGTAGGGTAGTATTGTGTAATAGAGAAGTCCAACCTTGGAGACAGGAATACCTGGATTCAAGTCCCATCTTTAACAAATACTGGCTGTGTGACCCTGGCCAAGTCACCTGATCTCTCAATGCTTCATGCAACTCTCCAAGATTATAAGTTTCATAAAAATGGTCTGTACACAGGTAGAGGGAATTTCCTTGTCCCAAAGTCCCCTATACCAGTGAAATCACAGATCCAGACCAAAGCAATAAATCAAATTCATGAATCATTATCACAGAAAATTCATCCCACAGTGGCTAACGGTCTGGTGATGAACTTCTTCATACTGAGTTTGTGAGAGCTAGAAACAAAGTCTGGTTCCTCCCACCTCCCCCTTACTCAAAGCATTTCCCAATTGATAGAACCTGCCAGATCTTGCCCTCTCCTGTCCGAGGCTAGAAAAACTCTAAAGGTATAATGAGACATGAGGGATAGAACTTTGGTGAAAGTGACCAGATATAGTTTTCCTGTGGAATGTGGCATAAAAGGAGAGATCCTTTAAGCTACCCACCATATTTCACCACCTCCCCTCAGTGCCCAATGTCCAAGCGGAGTGGTCTACACCTGCTATTCTTACTGCCTCACTACTCATTCAGTCATTCAATTAATTTAGCAAACATTTACTAAGTGTCACTCCTCCGCAACTTGTAATCTGATTTTGGCTGGACCATTCTAGTGAAACTGCTCCCCTTGAAGTCAAAGTCAAGAATGATCTTTTTTATTCAATGTCAAAGCTAATCTTCCCCCCCCCCATTTTTCTGAACTCATTTTACTTGATCTCTCTAAAGCACTGTTGACTGGCCCTTTCTTGATGCCCCGGTTTCCATTAAACTACATTTTCACAGTTACTTTAAAAAATTTTAATTCAAAGGTTTTTTTTTTATCACCTTCATAGCTGGAAATATCCCTATCCCCTTCCTACTTAGTGACAGTAACAAAGAATGAAGCATCAAGATGAAAAGAAAAGAAAACAAAAACAGAACAATTTTGGCAAAGCTAGCCAACACATCACGTGCCTCTGATGTATGCCATGTTTCATATGCATAATTGTCCACCTCTGTAAAGAAGGAGGGAAGCACATTTTCTCCTCTTCACTCAGGCCAAGCTTGATCGGTATAATTACAGAGCGGTCAGTTTCATGTCATGGCTGTTATTCTTTCCAAGGACCTTGTTGTAGTCATTGTGTGTGCTGTTTTCTTGATGCACATTCGATGCACACTTATAGCGGACTTATCATTATGCATGCTCACTAGCATGATGGAAACACTAATTATACTTAACACTTTTTCAATGCTTGCAATCAAAGTTTATTAGTCAAAACATGCAAGCAATATAACTAGCCCTCCTCCTTTGAGAACAAACCACCAACCGAATCTTAGAGGTCCCAGGAAGCGTTCTTCATACTGATGCTTGGAACGTGGTTCCCTCTCTGCTTGGCCAGAGGCTGTGTTTCCTTCTGACAAGTTTCCTTCAGTTAACACTGCCCTCAAGGGAACATGGGTATGCTCAAATGTCACATATGGAGGAATGGAGGAGCTTGTCCTAGTCAAGACCAAGGAGCATGCCAAAGGCTGGGGCCTCTTGGATGGATTTCTTGATGGTTTTTAAATATGGGCATTTCTAATTTGTTTACCACATAATTTAATTGGTAGTTTATTACATTAAGTACTGATGAGGTTGTTTACATTTTTTATTGGTGGTTTGTTTTATGAGAGAGTCTAAATATGCTTATTAGTTGTGTAAGAACACAAATGTTTAAAGACACAACTCTTTATCTTCTTATTGAAAAACAACTTACCCGGGGGGCAACTAAGTGGTGCAGTAGATAGAGCATCAGCCCTGGAGTCAGGAGGACCTGAGTTCAAATCTGGCCCGACACTTACTAGCTGTACAACCCTGGGCAAATCACTTAATCCTGATTGCCCCCCTACCCCCCCCCAAAAAAAAGAACCAACTTACTCAAAATAACTCAATCACAAAATAGAGACTTAAAATGGAATCAATTATGTTAAACTGACAAACTTACTTCTACTCTCTTATAGTAGAATAGAAAGTAATAAAACTTATTCTCACTATACCTGTTCCTCTGTATCAGTTCAGCCTTCTTGTCCCTTTCTGAATCCTTTGTATTCAGCATGCTGGACTTGGGAGTTACCAAGCCCTGAGTTCAAATCTCCTTCACAAGTGGACTAGTAATGTGACTTTGATCAAATTATTTAACCTCCCAGCCTCAGTTTCCTCATTTGTAAATTGGGGATAATAATAGCACCTACTTCATAGTCTTTTTTTTTTTGGTGGAGGTTGGGGGAGGGCTAGGCAACAGGCTTAAGTGACTTGCCCAGGGTCCACAAAGCTAGTAAATGTCAAGTGTATGAGGCCAGATTTGAACTCAGGTCCTTCTGACTCCAGGGCCCGTACTCAATCTACTGTGCCCACCTAGCTGCCCCAGGTATTATAAATCTTAAAGCACTACATCAAAAGTCAATCAACAAGCATTTATTAAGCACTTACTATGTGCCAGGCATTGTATTAAGCAATGGGGATAAAAAGAAAGTGAAAAACAGTCCTAGCCCTCAAAGAGCTCACATCAGAATAGAGAGACAACTAGCAAACAGCTATGTACATTCATGCATGCATATAGATAGATGCATATGTATGTAAATATATGCACATACACATATATGGTACAATAAATGGGAGGTAATCTCAGATGGAAGATGCTAGATAAATGCTAGCTATTTTGGACAATGCAAAAATATTCCCTTGCATGCATATATATATGGTTTTCTTTCTACCTTTCCAGTAGCTCTTTCTCTGTCTCCCTTGCTGTCTGCCTTCTGCACCTTAACAGATGTCTTCCTAGGCTTTGATCTTTTTTCTCTCCCTTGGTGATTTCATCCATTCCCACTGCTTGAATTATCCCTGGATCTTGACTCTTAAATCTATTTTCACCTCCAATCTGCCTGCTGCCTATCTCCCCTTCAATGCATTGCTCACTCCTCAAGGTCACTATATACAAAATGGAACTCAACTCTCCCCAGCCCCCTAAAACCTACCCCTGCCCTCAACTTCCTCATTTCTGCTTATGTGCATGAAAGTGACATAGCCAGATGTAAATAGACTTTTATGCAAATACAGAAATTAGACAATGTTAAGTTCATAAGCACAAAGTTCAATGAGATCAGATTCAAAGAGTATGGTATAATGGAAAAATGGCTAGACCACATCAGAAGACCTGCATTTGGATCTAGGCTCTGCCACTTAATAAGAGTTGTGTGTCTTTGGGTCAGTAACTTCGTCTTTCTGAGTCTCTGTTTCCTCATCTATAAAATAGGATACAATATTTTCACTACTTTCCTCAGAGGGTTGCTGTGAGGAAAACCTTTGGTTAATCTTACAGTACAATAGAAAAGGGGTTATTATTGTTATTATTACACAAGTGAAAGTAACTTGGTGGCAGAGTGGACAGAGCATTGGGCCTGCAGTCAGGAAGCTCTGAGTTCAAATCTAGCTTCAGACAGTTGTGTGCCACTGGCCTGTCTCAGTTTTCTGATCTGTAAAATGAGAATAATAATAGCATTTACCTCCCAGAGTTGTTGAGGGGATAAAATGATACAATATTTATAAAGTACTTTGCAAACCTGAAAGTACTATATTAGTGCTAGCTATTATTAATATTATGATTAGCTTCTCCAGAATCCTCATTCTTCATTCTTCATTCTTTTCCTATATTTCACCTGGACTTTGTCCCCCAGGCAGCTGCCACTGCTATCCCAGAATTAGAGAGATACAAAGGCCATTGGACTAGGAGCCAGCATGTCTGTTCTGGTTTTGACTCTGCTACTTCACCTCTCCATTTAGGACCTCAGGCAAAGCTCGATGTACTTGCTGCAAAGTGAGAATGCAAAGACCTTAAGGTATTTGTGAGTTAGCACTGCTCTGGTGATTCATTTAGCAGATATGTTTCCCATATGATTGTTTGATAAAGTGCTAGAACACAGGACCCAGCAGGAACTCTAGGGATTCTTATTAAATGGCTACTACATAGTAAGGGCATTATGCTGAGTACTGGAGTATAATGGCAAAAATAAGAAAACAGCCCCTGACTTCAAGGAGTTTACATTCTACTGGTAGGCAAGGATTGAAAAAGAAATCAATCTCTTTTGTTTTTACATAATCTGCATTTGACATCACCAATATACCCCTCCTCCCTAAAAACAAAGAATTAGAGAAAAAAAATTCAGAAAAACTAATCAGTGAATCAAAAAAGTCTGACATTATATGCAACGTTCCACCTTCATATCCCCTAGCGCTGCCAAAAAGGGGGCTAGATGCTGCCTGACATCTCTTCTTGCAGGCCAACTCTCCATAACTACATTATGATTTTAATCATCTTGTTGCTTTGGTTCTTTCCGTTTACTTTGTTGTATATATCATTGTGTACATTATTTTCCTAGTTATCCTTGCGTTGCTTTGCATCAGCTCATACGCATATTTCTCTGTATTCCTTATATTCCTTATTTCTTATAGCTTAGTAACATTCTATCACATTCAGGTACCAAAGCTTATTTAGTTACTCCCCAGTTGATAGGTGTCTACTTTGTTGGACAAGTAAGTTTTGACATTGGATAATGCTTGGACCATAGGATGCAGTCATGGGAGGGCAGGCATGGATGGGGTCCTATAGTGGATGCTATATAGCGGTTCAATAGCGGGTGGTGCAGGGACATTAAGAGGTTGCTGAGTATCTGGTGGAGGGGGCTCAGAGAGTGCCGAGGGAGGAGCAGCTAGATGGCGCAGTGGATAGAGCACTGGCCTTGGATTCAGGAGGACCTGAGTTCAAATTTGACCTCAGACACATAACACATACTAGCTGTGTGACCCTGGGCAAGTCACTTAACCCCATTGCCTAGCTAAAAAGAAAAAAAAAAGAGAGTGCCGAGGGTACCAAAGGCTTCACAATTCTGCCTAATTTTAGCACCACCTGCTCTTCCTCAGTTGGGGGCAGGAGAGGAAGATGATGTCAGGAGAGACAATATTTCTCCCTCTCAAGGTCCTTCATTGCTCCTCCATCAACAAAGGGACAATTAGGGCCAGGTCGGGGAGGGAAACCAGTACAGTTATCCTTTCTATATTGCGACTTTCCCCATCTCAGTTTTGTCATATCATGGGTCAGCACACAAAATTAAATGGAAATTGTCTTGGAATTTTGCAGAAGTCACAGATGACAAAGACCAGCTGACGACCCGGAGCTTATGACCAAACACTTAGCCCAAATTTTACAATAAGGTACTGTAAATACCCATAAAAGAAAAAGAAAAAAAAATTCAGATTTCTTCTGTGGTATGAAGAAAGGGCCAAAAATGTTTATCTGGATTTTCCAGAGCACAGGAGCACTGTTCCCTCAACCCCCTCCATGTGGAAGGGATAACTGTAATTAAAATGACTACATTCATTGATTGTCTCTGCTTTGGAGTTAATCCCATCCAGAAGAAGTGTGACAAATCTCTTTCTGTCCAATTCTTCATTCTTTTCCTACATTTCACCTGGACTTTGTCCACCAGGCAGCTGCCACTGCTATCCCAGAATTAGGGAGATACAAAGGCCATTGGACTAGGAGCCAGCATGTCTGTTCTGGTTTTGACTGCTACTTCACCTCTCCATTTAGGACCTCAGGCAAAGCTCGATGTACTTGCTGCAAAGTACAGAGCTCTTAACATTTTCACCTGGGTCAGGTACCACAAACACCACCTGAGTAAGGCAAGCAGCTAGAAAGAAGCATACCCCAGGGTAAGATAGGAAGATGGCGGTGTTGGGAAATTCCTTAGCCCAGAGATCTTAGGACTCTCCTGGAGAGTAATTCCTCCCACCTAGGTCTGATTGACTGGGGTCAATAAATCAAGAGACAAGGCTAGAAGATAAAAACCTTAATTAGCATCAGCTGATAGGTATTTACCAGGTGGTTATAGCAACTCCACTGAATGGTTGAAGACACACACAGACAAACACAGACACACAGAACGCACAGACACAGGCACACACACACACACACACACACACACACACACACACACAGAGTTTTATACAACTTTAGGACAGGCCTCTCAGGTGAGGCTGCTCAGCCACTTTCCTTATATCAGAGGCAGAGCAGGACAGGTTGTTAGGCCATTTGGGAGTTGGCATAACTATGGTGTCACCCAAGATCAGGTCTGTTCAAGGAGAAGTGTTTGTTTCCCTGTGGTTATATATACCTTGGTGGGGTAGGAAGTCTTGAGTAAATCTCAGCGGAAAATCTAGGTGGGACCAGAGTGGAGGCCTCCCTTTCGAGATGGAATCAGTACAACTCTGCAGGCTCCATTTCTTTGACCTCTAAGGTTACTTACTATTTCTGGGGAGATAAACTCTCCCAAACTCATAGCACACGGGTTTGCTTTATAGGGGGGAGGGTGATACCATCCAGATGGGAGAGGACACAGATTCTGAAACACCAGCTGGCCATCTGGTAAATGGTTTTTTTTTTATTGAATTATTCTTACTAAGTAGAGGTTAAACTCTGCCATTTCTCTGCTTCTAGACTGAGTCAGTGCTCTATACATTTAGCAGCCCTGGTACAAGCCATAGTTGCTCTGCCTTAGTTAAATTTCTCATAAAATGAGAAGGTTCCATTAGATAGAAGATTTCTTCATTTAAAGGTCAATGACATTTTATGATGTTACTTACTGCTATTCCTTCAATCTTAACACACGTCACATACCCCCTACCAAGGTGTTCAGAAGGCAGAGGTAAACTTTGCTTTTTTTCAGAGTCATGGTAGCAGGTTGCATAGCATTTGGAACAGTGTAATTATAGAACCGAGGGAAATACCCCCGTGACTGTTGTCTCACCAGGCAGACCTTGTCCTGTAAATATGGCTGCTTTCCCAGTTTCAGCAGATCTGAGTCTTTCTTTACCACCATTGTAGCTGTCTCAGGCAAATGCTTGATTTTCTTTAAAACAAAACAAAACAAAATAAAACCAACCTGTTATTGATGTGTTTTGTTTTTGTATCACAGACATTTCCAGATTACCTACACTCTGTCAGAGCTCTCTTGTAACAAAGTAAAACAATTAAGCAAAACTAACAACACAGTGACCTCATCTAAAAGTGTATGCAGTATTCCTCATCTGCAGCCACCCACCTCTATTTTTTAGTGGTTTTTTTTTCATGAGCAGAAATTTTCTTTCTCTCCCACCACACTGAAAAAAAGAAAAGAAAAATTCCTTGTTAAAAATATGTATAGTCAAACAAAACAAATTCCCTCACTGGCTCTATACAAAAATACATGTGTCTCATTCCATACCTAAATCTCTCACTTCTGTCAAGAGGCAGATAGCATTCTTCATCACCAGTCCTCTGCAATCAGGCATGGTCCTTGTGTCGATCATAGTTCTTGCAGTTTTCAAAGCTGCCTGTTTTTACAGTGTGGTTATATAAATTGACATCATGAAGATACCTCGGGAGTTCACAAGCTACTCATTTGATTATTCCTTGTCACTGTGGCTGTCAGTTGTCTGTCACCAGCTTAGTCCAATCCAATCAACAAACATTTGAGTGCCTCCTACTGTTTACACGTGGCATTGTGCTGGGCGTTGCAGAATATATATATGTATATGTATATCTATCTATCTATCTATCTATCTATCGATCTATCTATCTATCTATCTATCTGTCTGTCTATCTATCTATTATCTATCTATCTACCATCTATCTATCTAACTATCTATCTATTATCTATCTATCTATCTATCTATCTATCTATCTATCTATCTATCTATCTATCTATCTATCTATCTATCTATGAATCAGTCCCTGCTCTCAAGGAACTTACCAACTAATTGGGGAGAAAGTGAGAGTATGTAGTGTGAGTGAAATAATGGAAAAGGTCACAAGGTGGTAAAAGACCATTTGTCAAATGACTGGCTCAAGTAGTAAGTAGAGAGAGAGCTCACTTTAATCTGGGGTGATCTAAGTGGACTATGTGGAAGAGGAAGACCTTGAGATAGGCTTTGAAAGATACATCGGTTTTGGAGGGGAAGGAGTAAAAAGATGAAAGAGAGTGGAATGAAAGGGAGTAAAGGTGTTGATAGAGATGTGAGTTGTGTATGTGTGTGTGTGTGTGTGTGTGTGTGTGTGTGTGTGTGTGTGTGTGCGCGTTGGGAGAGTAAAACAAGGTGATCAAAGATATACAGCTAAAGACAAGGCCCAGTATCTTGGTGCCATATGATGTAATCTTGAGTCCATTGGAGAGCTGATGAAGGATGATGACGGCTAGAAAGCAGGAATAGTATCACATCCACTGAAAATCAGATTAAACAAGGATCTGTACATGTAGTAGCTTAGCAACAGGGAATCCCTACAAGGTATAACTGGTCATTTTGTTTTGATCTTGCCCATTACACTATTTCAACATTGGTATCAATCACTTGCCTGCTGTTTCTCGAGGCCCAGAATAGACAAAAAGGGAAAACAACTTCCCTGGGGAGGTGGAGGTCATGGTGAGGATCAGAGTCCAAGGTCATCAGCCTTGGGCTGAAGAAATACCATATGGACCATTTGACTCTGGTGAGCTACAGACTCCAAACATTTGTTTTGTGTCAGGCTAAGCCACTTACTAACCATGTGATCTTAGGACAAGTTACTTAATCTCTCTGGGCCTGAGTATCCTCCTCTGTGAAAAATGCACAAGGGTTTAATTAGATCATCTCTAAGGTCTTCTCCAGATCTAAACTCATGATCCCTTTTGCAAAGAGGTATTGATGGGTGGAACTGCCTGGAAGGCAGAAATAGAGGAGAAGTAGCCAGAGGCACAAATACCACCAGGCAGTTCTTGAATGGCTCCCCACTGGAGTGCTGCTGAGTTTTGTGGTTATCAGCATGTAAAGATCCACCCCTTTTGGAAACTTTTCTTTGGGGCTCAGAATTGAAACTTTAGATATGGAACATAATCCCAACTTTTTTCCTGTATCATAGGTTCACAAAATTTTGGACCTGGGAGGTACCTTAAAGATCGATCTAAGCAGTTCTCTAATTTTATGGTGTGGAAAAAGAGGCTCTGAGTGTAAAAGTAGGATGGTGATAAAATTAAGCAGCTAGAGTGCTGGGCTTGGAGTAGGGAAGACCTGAGTTCAAATCTAGCCTCAGACACTTGATGGCTATGTGATCTTGAGAAGTCACCTGTTTACCTCAGTTTCTTCATCTATAAAATGGGGATAATAATAGCACCTATCTCCTAGGGTTGTTGTGAGGATCAAAGGAGATAATAATTGTAAGGCACTTAGCACAATGTTATATACATGTTAGCTATCATTATTAAAGTGACTTGTTCAAGGTCACACAATTAGTAAACAGCCGAGTTGTGTGTAGACTTTTCCTTGGAACTTTGGCAATAGGATTTTTAACCAGATATGTTAAAGGAAGGCTATTCTTGCATTCATTCATTCATCTATTCATTCATTCAAACAAGCATTTTTTTTTTGCTGTTGTTCAGTCATTTTCGGTTGTGTCTGACTCTTCACAAACCCATTTAGGGTTTCCTTGGCAAAGATACTGAAGTGGTTTGCCATTTCCTTCTCTAGCGCATTTTACAGCTGAGGAAACTGAGGTAAACAGGATTAAGTGACTTGCCCAGGGTCCCACAGCTAGTAAATGTCTTCTCCAGATTTGAACTCTGGAAGATGAGTCTTCCCGACCCCAGGTCTGGTACTCTATCCGCTGCACCACCCAACTGCAAACATTTATTGAATAACAAATGTGGAAAAGGTAAAGCGTTGCTTGCAAAATAGACTACAAGCTTTGGAAAGGGCAAGGGAGCCTTTTATTCCTGAAAGGGATTAGCCAACCGGAGATAAATCTGCCCACCACCAAGCTTGAGGATTAGCACGGCTCTTTTGGTTCTTTGTGGTCTGGGTTTATATAGATTGCTTGCTTCTGATACAGATTTTTAGCCTGACAGTCAAAACGCAAACAAATTAGCTTACCCCCCAGAAGCCCGACAACCTCTAACCCTAACCCCTTTCCATGTCCTGAAACCAACTGACTGGTTGCTTTCAAATAAGAAGCCTTTCTCTAAAAGATCCCCGAGGATTTCAATGAGGAAGCTAATTCTTGGAGTGGAGAAACAGCAGGAAATAGAAAGGATATTTGAGAATGCAGTCAATATAGGTGACTCTGTATCACAGCTGAAACTCACCCTCTTGGACTGCTGTGCAGATTCTGGGTTTGGGGGGCTGCCAGATGTGCAGGGAGCATTTTGAAGGAAGATGAACAGGTTGAGACACCTGGCCTGGTTTCTCTCTCTCTCTCTCTGAAGCATTCAGGAATAGTCATCAATCATTGAGAAAAGGCAACTTTGGGCATGCTTCCATATTAGAATGCAATGGTTTTAATCCTGTGCTTTTAAAAATGAAATGTTCAAGGTTTTCCACTAAGTGCTTTATCTGATTAGTCCTGGTCAGAAAGGAAGGGCTATTTAAAGACACAATGATTGATCTCAAATTTGGTATAATTTGTGGGGAAATGAGGAAGGAGGGGTCAAGGGCTGGGGAAAAGAATTTTTCAGGGTAGTTCATTAATTCAATTCAGCTCAGCAAACATGAGAAGCCCTGCTATGCTAGGTGCCAGGAGAGACGGGAGATGCTAAATTTAGATATCAGTCCTTTTCTCTGGCATGGTCCCTGCCATTATGAAGCTTTTGGGAAGGGAGAATTCTTTCTTCTTTTATCCCTTCTCCTTTTCCTTTGCACTCTCCTCATTTTTTCCCCTCCTTCTTCTCCTCCTCCTCTTAATCATGACTGTTGTTGCTTTTGTTATTGAAATCTCTGGTAATCTTATTTGGGGAGAAAAGCACAGGATCTTCAAGAAATCATCCATTCCCTGGTGTGAGAGAGGCCTCTCATGAGTCCCCCAGTAGATCATGCCCTAGGAGAACGGACAGCAGAACAGAGGAGGAAAATGGCCTCTCAGGGAATAACAAAATCAGAGAATCGGAGCAGATGGCAGAGGTCATCTGGTTTACCCAGCTCCTGACCAAGAATCCCTTCTACTGACACACACAACAAGGGGCTAGCTAGCCTTCATTCACCATCTCCCAAGGAAGTCCATTCTGTTTTTATGCAGCATTAATATTTTTTTAAAAATTAAATTACATTTTCTTTCAATTTAAAAGCATTATTTTCTCTTCTTCCCACCTCTTTCCCTTTGAGGAAAAAAAAAAAAAAAACAAAGCCCTTTTTAAAAACAAATATATAGCATTAACTATTAATAAAATTTCCCCTGCATCAAATCCAAGTCTGCTTCTCTGAAAGTTTTAAGTATTGTTTCTTCTCCAGTTATCTAGGGCCAAGCACAACAAGGTGTATCCCATGACTTTTAAATGCCTGAAGACAGGCGTCATGACTCTTTTAGTTCTTTCCTTCTTCAGGCTAAATGTGTGGAATTCCTCAATTAATTATCATATGGTGTGGTGTTTAGATACCATCTTGGGTGTCCTTCACTTTTTAATTAAAAAAATTAATTTTTTCCCAAGTAACAAGCACTTATTTTCTCTCATACTCATCCTCTTGTAAAAAAAAAACCCTCATAACAAATATGCAAAGTCAAGCAAAATTAATTCCTGTATCAGCCACATCCCCCAAATGTGTCTTATTCTGAAATATTTAGTCCATGACCTTTCTACTCAGAGATGAGTAGAATTCTTCGTCATCAGACCTATAGAATTATGATCAGTTTTTGCCATGATCTGAATTCTTAAGTCTTTTCAAGTTGTTCGTATTTACAATGTTGTTGTTGCCTTGGTGTCATTTATCCTCTTGATTCTAGTTATTTCACTCTCCATCAGTTCAGCCAAGTCTTCCCAGGCTTTTCTGAAGCTGTCCCATTCTTCCCCTTCATTGTTCTCACAGTTCTATAGAGTTCCATTACATTCACATACTATAATTTGTTCAGTCATTCCCTGCTGTTGGGCACCTATCCCCTCAGTTTTCAGTTCTTTGGTATCACAAATAGAGCTGTTATCAATATTTTTGTACATATAGACCATTTTTCTCTTTCTCTGATCTCTTTGGGGGGTATAGGTCTAATAGTGTTTGCTATTGCTAGGTCAAAGGGTATGCACAGTTAAGTCACTTTTTGACTATCTGGATTTCAGAGCAGCAGTCCCCCCAGACAATGGAAGTTTTCTGTTTGTAGAAGAGGGGTGGAAGGGAGGGGAAGCCTGGGAGAGGAATCTGGGCACCGTGGGATATTTTTTCCACTTGGTCACAGGCAAATAGTCATTAAGCTAGAGTTCTGGCAAGAGACTTGTGTCACATAAGAAACATTCTCACACAGAGGGGGCTGCAGCTGGACCTGCTCCTGATGTCTTTGAAACAATCTTTCTCTGTCAAGGGAGCAGCTGTAGGCCAGCTGCTCACTCGGGCGAGGCTAAAGCCCCGCTTTGGCAGAGGTGGATGGAGTTAGAGACTATTACATAATTGGTTCACTCTTTGGCAGGGACTAATTGGATGTAACGGTGTGTTCAGTCAGCATGCCACCTGTCCCTGCCCATTAACAAAGCAAGGTGTGCCTTGGGGAGGACCCAGCCTGAGAGAGCCAAGTTGGGACAGGTACCTCTTGTGTGATCGCCTTCACAGTCTGCGTGGCCATCCAAGTCTGAGGTCCTGCTCAGTGGGTACTCTCCAGTAACCAGGCATCAGATTATCCTGCCTCTCTATGCCCTGAAATAAACATGTCAATTCCTTTCCCCCCCCAGACTTCGACTTACCTAGCCTGGTGAGAATCCTCTGCTGTCAAGGTCAGAACATCTCATGTAGCAAATTCCCATGAGGCTAACCTACTAGGGAGAGTTTCTGGGGCTTGGGGTAGGGGTAGGGATAGACAGAAGGAAGGAAACAGCATTTATTATGTGCCAACTATGTGCTAAGTGCTCTATAAAGATTATTTCATCTGATTCTCACAACAGCCCTGGGAGGAAGGTCCTATTATTATCTCTATTTTAAAGTTGAGGAAACTGAGGCATACCAAGGTTAAATGACTTGCTCAGGGTCACATAGCTAGTAAATTTCATTTCTATTATATTAGCTCGACCTACCCATAAGCAACTGATGTTTTTCCAATTATTTAGATCTGACTTTATTTGTGTGAAAAGTGTTTTGTAATTGTGTTCATATAGCTCCTGGGTTGCTAGTAAATAAATGTCAGAGACCAGATTTGAATTCAGGTCTTCCTGATTCTGGGTCCATTGTGTGCCATTTAGCTGCCTCTGATGGGACAATTTATTTCTATTTTCTCCCCATCACTGGGAAATTAGAAAAAAAATGCAGCATAGTCACGCTATGGAGCCTTGGGCAAATGCCAATTGCCTTGTAATATTACTGGCGATGGCTTTGTAAGCAAAAGTGGTATAAATGATGTCATATAGGACTTGGATGACTGGGAAAGAATGAGATCCAGTCTCGTGGGAAGAATGAGAGAAAAGAGATGGACAGCCTCAGTACAACATTAGCACATTCAATGTAAAAAGAGACGGAGGAGAATTTTCCGCTTGTTTTATGCATGTATCATACACAGAAGATTTATGGAAAGACATAAGTGGGAATCACACAAGATAGGAAATTGTAAAGGATTTATAATCTATACAGTGGAAGAAATAGTCACTATTAGTGAGGTTACAGTTTTATTAATATATCAAAGGAAAAATTAGGTCTTATTTCCCCAACTAGATTACAAGAATTTAGAAGGCAAGGACAAGATTTCATTCATCTCTGCAGCCTCCCTCACACTTGGTACAATATCTCTCACTTCAGTAAGCGGATGCTCAATAAATCATAGATAGTGGATAGATTGCCAGGCATGGGTTCAGGAACACCTGTGTTCAAGTCTCGCTCCACACATTTACAAGCTGGCTGACTTTAGCCATATCACTTAATCTCTCTGAGTTGGTTTCCTTTTCTTTAAAATGAGAATTAAAAAAACAACAACAACAGATTTTTATCAATAACTTTTGTGTTTCTATCCCCTAGATCAAAGGTGTCAAAATAAAATAGAAACAGGTAAATAAGCGTCCTTGTAGACTGCACATTGATTTAGAAAACCACTCATTTACATCGTGTGTATTATATTTGTTAAACATTTCCCAATTACATGTGAGCCTGGTTTGGGTGGCCCTGGGGGTGCTGCTGGTGACATGTTTGATGTCTCGGCCCTAACTGATCTCTTTGTCTTTCCCCATCCAGAGAGTAAAACAGGGATATTAAAACCTGGACCTCTTGCATCACAGGGTTATTCTGAGCCTCAAATGGGATAATCGATGCAGAATGCTTGGCAAACCTTAAAAGTGCTCTGTCAATGCCAGTTACTGTTGATTGATTGACTAGAGATAATATTGGGCTAATCTCCAAAGTTCATGCTTTCAGGTGGTTATTATTGTTTTGTTCCATTAATGGAAATGATTTGGGAGTAATCTAGCTACATTTTCTAATTCTATCTCCTAATGGCCTGGAATCCTAAGACCTGGGTTTGAATCCTGGCTCTGCCATCTGCTACCTTTATTGCCTTGGGTAATTCACTTTACTTCTCTGCATGTCAGTTTCTTCATCTGTCAAATAAGGGGGTTGGCCCTCTAGCTCAGACACTCAGGTCTTACACTCAGCCACCCAGCCCTAATGAAGGGTGGAGTGTAGTCTGTGGCCCTGTCAAAAAACCCCAAGGGCCATGGGGCCATGACATGAACCTCAGAGGCACTTTGAGATGGGCTTTTATGACTTGCAATTAGTTACATATAAACAGATGCATGCATCCTATGATGCAGGAGGAAGAGGAATCAGGTGAACAGCTGGCTTGCTAACAGCCTCTCTGCCTGGTCATTCTAATTTTAATTTCAATAACCATCTGCCCTGTCACTGACTTCCCGGGGCAGCAGTCAGCCTGTCCTATTTTTCCTCCCTGTTGCATGTGCCTGCAGCCTGGCATCCCAGTAGAAGATGATTAATGAGCTCTGTGGGTGGCCTTACACCTAGTCAGTGGGAGGGAGGCAGGGAGGATGCTCCAGGGCAGAAAGAGGAGTTAACTTGACAAGAAAGGCCCAGTAGGAGATGGGGCCAGGACTGAGATCTTCTGCATCTCAGGATTTCTGTAATTTATGGAGGGGGGGAGTAGGAGAAGAGGGTGCGCCTGAACCTGAGAAACACTTATCACCTTCCTGCAGAAGAGCAGTTCAGGACAGGGAAAACAGCTTGCCAGAAGACCATGAGAACAAGGAATCTCCATTGGCACAGATTCCCAGGCCAGGGGCCAACCCAGACACAATCGTAGAAGAGGCAAAATTTCTCAGTGTCCTTTCCCTCTCCCTTTTCTCCTGTG